AAACAACAACAAACGAAAAAAGTTTTCATCTTAAACTTTTATATTGTACTTTATCATAAACTTTCATTGTCAATATTGAATAATAAAAGAAACGAAGAAAAAACAGAGAAAAGATTTTGATCATTCATTCATCCATAATTTTAAGAGGTAAATAGACTATTTCTATGAAGGAATTTTTATTTTTGTGAAATTTTCTTCTTTTTTTTTAAAAAAATTTTTTTTATTTATTTATTGTAAAAGATAATCAATTTGATTAAAGTGGTTTTTTTTTTAAATTTTTTTTTCTTTCAAGGAAAATTACATTTAAGGTAAACATTTTCTATATGACTTGTTATCATCAGATTTGGCCTAACTTTCAGCTAACCATATTTTGTTGTTGTTGTTGTTTCATTTCTACAAATGACCTTGAAATATACTCGCCCCCCTGTCACCCTCTGTTTATTATGAAGATATATAATAAGAAAAATTAATGACCTTTTGAAGTAATGAAAATATAACTTACATTATCTAGTTTTGTACTATTCTTGTATATAATCTAAGATAGATTTGATAAATTTCCCCTAACTCAAGTAGGACATATATCAGTAAGTTGTTGTAAGTTGGTTATTCATGAAAGGTCGTTTTAATTTACCCATGAAACTTTCATAATAATAAAGTTCAAGAGATTAATTTTTCTAGTGATGTTACAGTCTCTAAGCTGAATGTTTGAACAAACACAGATATTATTGTTGTTTTAAAAAAGTTGGATCACAGAATTTAAACTATGCGTCACAGTGAACTGTTTTAATGCTATTGTAATATCAATCAATAAGTTTATATTAGTGAAAGATCGAGGAAATCAAGATGATTTCAATGAATAAAATACTGTATAGTCAATAAAATAAGAATTTAATGTAGTTTATTTGTCAATTTAATGGTCAAACTATAATGTATTTAATATCTAACCTCATTTCTTACCTAACTGATTACATAAATCATATCGAACTTGTGAAAATCTATCTCATGATTTAAAAGTATCTTCATATTAAGTTGAATAAATTTATACGAATATTCGTCAATATTCGAGTGAATATTTCACTGGTTAAAATCATGAGTCAATTGAAGTTAAAACACCATGGGAAACCTGGAAGCACTGGGTTCGAATCTTGCGGTAGGCGAGATCGTGGATGCGCACTGCTGAGGAGTCCCATACTAGGACGAAACAGCCGTCCAGTGCTTCTAGGTTTTCCATGTTGGTCTAGCTTCAATTGACTCATGATTTCAACCAGTGAAATGTCTAAAAATCTCCACAAAACCCATTCTGATAATTAGAATGAATAGTTTGACGAAAGTTGGGGACCAAGTATAAAGAAGTCATTATATGTCAGAATTATATTTGAGATAATCTCATCGATTGAAAATTGAAATCGTTTCGTTTTGTCCAGTATACTTTTCTGAACTTCTTCAAGGGTAACAATCCAGTAAAGTTTACTGGACAAAACGTTGGAATTATTTAAATTTCAATCGCTAAGATTATTTCAAATATAATAAATTGAATACATTGATTTTACACTAAGAGATTGTGAATCGTACCTTAGAAACCATATACGTTGATGTGAATACTAGTAACTATGGTAAAATACCATCTTTATTTTCTTTCAGCATTTTAGACTCAGTTTTATTCCACAAGTTCTACTTAGTAATAAAGAACGAACAAACAACGGATTATAATATTTCGTCGATTTCTATAGTCTTTATTTAAATATTTAGTCACTCATTTGTTATTATCAGAAAGTGTTTTTGTGGACATTATAGTAATTTACTAGTTGAGTTCATGAGTCAATCGGAACTAGACCAACATGGAAAACCTGGAAACACTGAACGGCCGTTTCGTCTTAGTGTGTGACTCCTTAGCAGTGCGCATCCACGATCCCACCCCGTGAAATTCGAAACCAGGACCTATCGATCTCACACGCGAACGCTTAACCTCTAAACCACTGAGTTAGCGTCCATCATTCATTAGTTAGTCATGCACAGCTTGAAAAATATACATTTGTCAGATAAAAAATATTTTTTTTTGGTTGAGATCATGAATCAATTGATGTTAGACCACCGTCGGAAACCTGGAAGCACTGGACGGCCGTTTCGTCCCAGTATGAGACTCCTCAGCAGTGCTCATCCACGATCCCGCACCCCGCGGGATTCGAACCCAGGACCTACTGGCTTCGCGCCTGAGCGCTTAACCATTAGACCAATGAGCCGGCATCCGATGGTGTTAGTGTCGGGTAGAGACAGGTATCTGCCTCAGTACAATGGAAGTTGGTCGCGCAATTTCGTGAAATGGTTGATGTTAGACACTAACACCATTGGATGCCGGCTCATTGGTCTAATGGTTAAGTGCTCAGGCGCGAAGCCAGTAGGTCCTGGGTTCGAATCCCGCGGGGTGCGGGATCTTGGATGCGCACTGCTGAGGAGTCCCATACTAGGACGAAACGGCCATCCAGTGCTTCCAGGTTTCCGACGGTGGTCTAACATCAATTGATTCATGATCTCAACCAAAAACTTAACAATCTCCACAAACCCCATACTGATAAAAAATATTTTGTAGATGATCAAAAAAAGTTACGACCTAAAGGAAGGATAAAAAGTGTAATCATCTGCCCTCTGTCATCCAAAATCTCTGACATTTGGTCACATTTAGTCATCGAGTAATTAGTTTGTATCTACTTACATTATTCACTATGACAGTCGATAATTTTGAAAAGAGCAAGAACAAACATTCAAACAGTCGATAATTTCATGGGCTAGTTTCAAATTTTGTTTTGGTAACATGTTACACAATCCATACATCTCACAACCACTTCATTAGAATAAGATTCAATTAGTTTAATTTTGTTTTTCTAAAATAAAGACGATTTTCTTTGGTTTACTTTATTTTCAAATGATATTGTAGTGTGTGCTACTGGTGTCGACAGATATAAGTTGTATGTATCACCAATCAAAAATGGAATGCCTGGGAGAAGAAGGTTGAAACGGATAGAACAGAAGACAACGAGAACAGAGAATGATTGGTATAGAAATGAAGGAACAACAAAGTCTGAGATAATTAGTAGACGTCTTGCAAATGAAGTATTTACTATATAATCCTCAGATTTTACAATGATATTTTGTAGTTTTATATTAAAATACATCCTAGTTGTCCTCACTAGTTTTCTTATTCACTATAATACAACTTTGTACCGACCACACACTTAAATATCAATATCCTATCTCTTCACATTTGTTCTTCAAAATTTCATTTATACATTATAAACTCATAACAAGACATTTATTTTCTAATATAATCTCCCATAGATTTCATTAATAATTAAATATACCTTAGCGATTTAATCATTCATTAAAGACAATATTCTTTATTCAGAATGAAATATACTAAAGTCTAAATCTAAACATACTCATATACTGTAAATCTTTCCCCCCCCTCCATTCAAATCATTCATTTGTCATGTTGGTCTTCAAGTATAGTTTACTTGAGGGCTTTCATCTTAGTTATAATTAAATGTGAAACAATGAAAAAAAATAAGAAGTAACTATTCCCTTAATTAATTATTGGTAAGAATATTCTTCTTCTATGTCTAATTACAACTTATAATTTATAGAATAATCACTATACAACTTAAATCTCTTCACACCTACAAATATGTTCTATATGAAAGATAAACATATACATACATTTGTATTTTCAATATATTTATTTATGTATAAAAAGAATCATTATTGATCTTATGAATAAGCTCAAAAATAATTTTCCCATTTCTAACTAATTTTCCTTGTTGGATCTTTATAGAGAAAGAGAGAGAGGGGTCAGAAAGAATAATTATAAAATCCAAAGATTTCTATATTACACTGATTGTAATCATAAGTCAATTGAAGCTAGACCAACATGGAAATCTGGAAGCACTGGACGACCGTTTCGTCCTAGTATGGGACTCCTCAGCAGTGCAAATACACGACCCCACCTCGCGACATTCGAACCCAGGACTTATCAGTCTTGCACCAGGCGCCCAACCAACTAGACCACTGAGTGGGTTGGCATCCAACGATGTTAATGTTTAACTTCAATCAATCCATAATAAAATAAAAAAAATTGAAACATCATGTTAAAAATGGATTACATAATACTGATTAGATTAAGTATTCAAAGAAAAGAAAAAAAAAGGCAAAACTACACTGATCCTATAAGAGATCCTATAAATAAAATGATTAACCTAGACATAATGATCAATAGGAAACTTGAAAAAGAACATTATCGATTAATTACATTTTGAAAAATAAAAAAAAGATTAAAAGATTGTTAAAGCAAAGTTACTGAAAATTTTTGAATTGAAAAAGAAAATAATAAGTTGACTTAATTAGATAGCAACAAATAGTATAAGATAGTTGAAGAGAATATAAGATTAATCTGACAATTCTAAGTAAAGGGGAACTTTCTAGAACAATATTTTATAATTATCATATCAAAAAAGTCAATTTTGAATATGTTAAGTAATGAAGTAAGTTAACAGTAACTAGGAGATCATGTTGTTTCATAAAAAAAATATCGATACTTTATGTTTAAAACTGACAAATTATGGAATGAAGATTGAAGTTTTAATTCTTCAGATGTATGATTCTTATTTATCTTCAGTTCAACAAAGAGTTTTATAGACAATATAATAATTTTCAAGTCAAGATCATTAATAAGAACAATTCTAGTTTGTTTGTTTGTTTATAATAAAAAAAATAAACCTTTAGACTGTCGTAAACTATCTAGAATTTTATGGCAACTATCAGAATCCCGTTTAATAAATCTGCCTATTATGTATTCATTCATACATAGCTTTAGATCATGATAGATATAAGAGATGTATCCTTATCAAAATTCAATATTCAATAATAAACAAAAAACTGATAAATCATGTATTTATGCATAAAACTAGAATCAATTTATAAAGTATTAAATATATATACATATAACTTACCTTGCTGGTTTAGTTTGACCCATTTTACGAACTTTTATAGTACAATATGTAACACGGGGAAAATGTCCAGTTCGTTCCCATTCAACACCAGCTGATAAATCTTGTAATAATCTTAATCCAAATACGGTACTATTAAAACCGGTAAAACGTTTCATTAAATAAATTTGTCCAACTGAATTAGCTACAAATAATGCTCTTACAAATAAAAATAACATAGTTAAACGTGCATTTGGTGTAACACCACATAAACAACGAGTTAATATTGATTTAATTCGTCGAAATCTTGATTGAGATTCAGCTTGTTCTTCTAATGTAGCTACTAAACATGATACCGCTTTTAAACGTAATTCACGATCTGGTATAGCGGCTTCTCTTGCTGATTTTAATAATAATGGTAAACGTCTTGAACCAACACGCCATAATAAATGTGGAACCCATGACATCATAGCTTGACCAGCTAAAACTATTGCAACCCATTGATAATAACCAATAAATTTAACTTTTTCATAATCTACTTGATCTGTTGGTATTTCTTCATTAGGTAATAAAAAATATGTGTTTGATACCCAACATAAATTTTCAGCATATTCTTCCCATGATTTAGTAAATTCTTGTGGTACCCAACATTGAATTGGTTTACCTAGAAAGAAAAAATACAATTTATAGGAATTAGAAATGAATTGTAATTGTAGTGTTGCGTAGTGAAATTTCCCTAATGTTATTTCAATTAATAGTAATTTAAATCTGTACTTCCTAAATAGTTGAAATATACATTTCTTTCTATCATTATTACCACTCATACCACTACTTCTACCGCCCCTTACTTGTAATATAAAAAACGTTCATTACGATAGGGAACTTGTTTGTAGAGATATATCAATGTGATCCTGGTCATCATCATAAAAAGATGTTAATTGTATAATTGGTCAGTTGGTTTGTTCCAGTTTAATAGTTCTAATCGGGTATTCACCTATAACCATACACATTTAGTTGGACATAGTAGCTTGAAATATGATAGTAAATACAATAATATAATAAGTCAGTGGTCCCAAATCTTAGATTACTACTAATCTTATGCTGACAAATTATCAACTCTGAAATAGAATATTGAAATCCTAATGTAAATTTGTGGTTGGTAAATTTCAAAAATAACTCCGCCTGGAGTGCCTCCGGGGGCTACTGCCAGTCGCAAGCCCGGATAAAGGAGGAGAGTTGGGCATGGGGTTAGCGACCCCATCCCGTAGAAAACTAACTCGCTAAAAAACGCCAACTAGTAAGTAAATTTAAAAAACATCTGAAATGAAATGGATAATATTAGATGAGAGTTATGTTATATCACAAACTGATTACAGTTAAAAATGAAAACCAACAGACAAAAACTGTTTTGTGTCAATTTCGAATTCAGATAATCTCAATTCCAATCTCATATGGGATCGTGAGTATGCAATTCTGAGTAGTCCTAAACAAGGATTCCAGGCAAGTTATTAGATGGAATATTGTAATTATTTAAGTTTGAGTCTTTCATTGATATTCATTATGGATCGATCTCCTTTGATTATCATCTCAAACTATGGACAATTGGACAGCTATTTTATACCAACGCATGATGATTTAGAAAAGCCTACCACCGATATAAGAGCTTTTAAGTTTCATGGTGAATGCTTTACCATCAGACAATACAATGATGTATAATGACAAAAATTTGATTGATCAATTCATGATATAACACAATGGTAGCAACTACTTCATTATTAATTATGTTGAACTCCATTTATCATAATTTTTCAAAAGAACTTCAAAAACTTGTCTTGAAATAAGTTATAAGTGAACAGCTTATATCACCTTATTAAAAATACTTTAAATTAAACTTAATTTAAAAAAAAGATAGATTATGATCAGAGAGGGGTTTTGTGGATATTACAGTAATTCTAATAGCTGATTTGAAGTTAGATATTAACACCATTGGATGCCAGCTCAGTGGTCTAGAGGTAACTCACTAGCGCTTCAAATCTCGCGAGGTGGGATCGTGGATGAGCACTTCTAAAGAATCCCATACTAGGATGAAACAGCAATCCAGTACTTGCAGATTTTCCATGATGGTCTAGCTTCAATTGACACATGAATTCAACTATTAATATAGATTATGAATCTGTTACTTAAAACAAATGATGTTTCAATAAAATTCCTCCCTCCCCCCCCCGCAAAAATATATTACTTCATTAAAAGTTGATAACAATAAACATAAGTACATGCCCCAAAAGATGTACTTTCGTTTACAAGGGAAAACAAATTAAAATCATAAATATCTGTATATGAAAAAAGAACTAAATCTATTAATGAGGCATTCATTAGAACGAAATAAATAAAAAATTGAGAAATTTTAAATCATTTTTTCTTCTCATTAAAATGTTAAATAGTACGTTATATTGTACTTCTCAGTTACTATGTGTATGTGTTTTATGCCTATTTGAGGTTTACTAAACATTTTTATTTTAATTGTTTACTAGTGAGTAGTAAGAGTTTTTCAACATGTGTTATTACACATTCTTTTGTGCGTGTGCGTGTGTATGTGTGCGTGTGTGAACCTATTTACAACCATGAATACTTGTACTCGTTTTCATTATCATTATCAACTGGGAATGATTTATTATTTTTCATCGTTATATTACAAATTTCTTATATATATATTTTTTTTCTCGCGAATTCTTTATTTTGTTTATTTTCTATTGTTTTGTGAGTTCTTGTTCTTCTTTTTTCCAGTTCTTTTCATTCCTCTCTTTCTAACTTTCGTCCTTTCTTTTCTTTTTCTTTTTCTTTTTGTGTGTGTTTGTGTTTTTGGATGTTTCCATAGAACAATAACATATTTAAGACACATGAATTCCATTGAGGTTCATATTGTCTTTATATTTAGTTAAATTTATTTTATTGTACTTTTAAGGTATAAAAGATAGAAACACATTTACTCTAATTAAATTTTGATTGATATCATGAATGGATTAATGTTTTAATTTATCATTTAAAAAAAAAGGAGTTTCTTTGAAAACATAGTGAAACGTTAATGAATAACTTAAAGTGACTTGAAATTTTTACTTATGATTAAATATAATTTCATTGAATATTCAATTCATAAATAGATTAATTGATTGATAGATATCAGTTTATTGACTGATGAATTCAATTATTTAATTAATACAATGTTCATGAAATCCTTCTCTGATTATCATCATCATATGCTCAATAGTAACTGTCTCCAAGGATTATTTCCTGGAGTTCTAGTGAGAAGCAGTGACCAGTGGAGTTCAATCGGGTCTGTTATGAGATAGTAGATCACTGATGACAATGGTGGACGGTGGTGCAAATTTGTGGATTGGTTGAAGTTAGACATTAACACTGATGAATGACGGCTCAGTGGTCTAGAAGTTAAGCGTTCGCGAATGAGACTGATAGCTCTTGGGCTCGAATCTCGCGAGGCGCGATCGTGGATGAGCACTGTTGAGGAGTCCCACAATAAGACGAAATTACCGTCCAGTGTTTCCAGGTTTTCCATGGTGGTTTAGCTTCAATCGACTCATGAATTCAATTAATAAAATACCAGTTTATGTTTAATGAAATCGAAGATTCATTTCGATTGTAATCAGTTCATTGTTCTATTAAAAGTCATTAGTCGAACCAATCAGTTTATAATAGTGAATATTGTAAAATTAGAAGATATATATATGGTTGGATAAACTAAACATGTAATCTTTAAAGATTTTACAATAGCCTTCACAAATTAATCGGATTTTCAACAACTCAAAATGAACTTGATATTCATGAATAATTTATTACAAGAAAGTACATAAAAGTTATGTCTGGGTTAAGACTATTATGAAAGTATTGCATGGACGATTCGAAGTAGTGAAAAGAAGTCGAGTTGATGAATAGTTTATAGTTCCATATGTTGAATACTTAACTCCACCTGTAGCTCTTTTAAAGTTACTGCCGGTCCCAAGCCCGGGTAAAGGAGGAGGTTTGGGGATAAGGTTATTGACCTCATCCCGTAGAAAATCAGCTCATTAAAAAAACACTAACCAGAAAAAGTAATGTTGAAACTTACGTAGTTAGTTATGGTATTTTTAAAATCAAGAACTCTTAAGTTATATGGTGGTTGGAGTTTGTCGACAGGAAACCCTGGACCCGGGTTTCGTGCTACTTGGCACTCGTCAGCAAGGTGTACCTGTAATCTTGAGGGAACTGGTGCTTCCTGTCGGATTCGATCTCATGTCACCCAGCTTCACAGTCAGAGAAGTTACCACTGAGCTATCCGAGCCGCGACCGACCTCCTGTAGGACTGAGGTGCAATCACAATTGATCGATCACTGGGTGGCGATCAATGTCATGGGCATCTAGTCCCTATTAGTGCAGACCCAATGCTATCGACCATGTTACAATGTGGCCACCAGTCTAGGTGACTCGACATTGCGGGAACTGTATATTGAGATTAGATGGTGGTTGGAGGTATATACATAGTGCCCGCAATGTCGAGTCATCTAGACTGGTGGCCACATTGCAACATGGTTGATAGCATTCGATCTGCACTAATAAGGACTAGACACGCATGACATTGATCGCCACCCAGAGATCAATCAATTGTGACTCTTAAGTCATCTTTAAACTTTATAAATCATAGTTTCTATTGTTTAATCTTCTTATTTTCTACCAATTCTAACCAAGTTAGCAACTAAATGTTAGTATTATTCATTGAGCCTTTAATAAGATATACATTATCCATAATCTTGTTTTGAATTTGGTAGAAAAACCCAACAACCGCTATCTTAAATTTAATTGATCCGTCAGTAGAGTACTCTTTCACCACATATCTTAAGCTATAAGAAGACCATTTTCTCATAATTAATTTTAAGTGACTTACGTCATTTATTTATCAAATAGAATTTTACATATTCGAATTCAAGCTGTATACTTTGTTTAAAGAATAGTGATTTCAATCTCTTACCTAATTGAATAACTTTTAAGTGACATTTAGACCAAGTGCCGAATACATATAAGTTTAGGGATTCGATCATTATTCAACTGTCCTACATTTCAATCGATAGAATTGCATACTGGAGCATTATTGCTTTAAATTAACATACATCTGGTAAGAATTATTTAAAAAACATATGAACCTTAAGTGAAGCCAAGTATCTTATTCTATTATAATGACATAAGTCGCTTTATTGGCCATCGATAAAAAGATTGGATAAGTTATTTTTTAAAATATCTTGTGAATAAAGTTTCAGGTGATTATTATTCTTCTTGTTGCCAAAACATGAAATAAATAGAATTGTGATTATGAATGGATCAGTGTTAGACCACCACTGAAAACCTGGAAGCACTAGACAGCCGTCTCTTCCTAGAGCGGAACTTCTCAGCAGTGAGCACCCGCGGTCCGGCACGTAGAATTCAAACCCAGGATTTTCGGTCTCACGTGTCAATGCCTAACCTCTAGACCACTGGACCGGCATCCAACGGTGTTTATGTCTAACTTCAACCAATCCACAAAATTGCGCGTCCATCTTTCACTGTCTTCGGTGAGTAATTGCCTCACATCCGACACAGATTAGCTTCACTAGTCATACTAAAATTAAACGGCCGTCCGGT